GTCGGATGCGTTATGCGCAACAACTGGCTTTAACATACAAAAGAGGATTTGACGCTCAGCTTTTGGGTGATCTGCATCGGTAGGATTAGCTAGATGTAAAAAAATAACCAAAGCTGAAGTAGGCCTGTATCTGCTATTTTGATTTGCGAGTCCAGCATTCCGTGATGTTATGACTTTTATTTTTGCCATTTATTGCTAATTCTGTTCCTGGTAGTACTTCAAGTATAATCTCCGCCGCTCTCATTATATGCTCAGTGTTTCCGCCCATCTTCTCCTCTGCACCATGGTTTCGGAATTGGTTGGATTTATACATTTGTTTCAGAATTTTTTGAAGCCGTACGAAGCACAGGTCCTAAGCACATTCGCACGCTACGTGCCATTAGTGTAGACCAACATGTCTAAAAAAGCTGTAAGTCCACTGCTTCTTTTCTTAGCTTTTTCAGGAACGTCTTGGGGTCTATTCCAGTTAGGGGGCATCATGATGCAGTTTTTCCAGAAAGCTAGGGTAACTCCGAGCCAGGGGAGTGTAGCCAGTCTAGGGGTGGGGGTGAGGGCAGTCACTTGACATGCGTGAAAAGCTGGAATGTTCGAGTTCACACTAGTTCGCCGAGAAACTGCATCATGATGCCCCCTAACTGGAATAGACCCACGTGTTATATTTTGAACTTCCCTTACTTTCTCGAAAGAGGTGTGCTGCACACGTTGTGCTATTCGTTTGGCATGAAAGAGAAAATTCAATAAATCATGAGAACATTCAAGAGGCCGTGTTATATGGCCGTTTTCAATCGAAGAAGCTGAATAAGAGTTTTTCTTGCCCGAATGGCTGTTGATTTTGTGGCCGCATTCCTGCCATACAAGGGGCGGGGCTAGAAGGGGTGAGTAGTGCTTGCAGTTTGTCCGTTCGCAACCATGGCGCCCTCTCCGGATGTAGGTTTTGTCCAGCATAGTTCACTGATTCATGCATGTTTTCTGCCAGGTCCACATTAACACACAGCATGGCAAAAGAAAATGCCTTGAGACCTATGTGGAAATGGGTCCGTGGCCGGAAACGCCATTTTTTAGTGTTTAAGATTTTTTGATCATAATGTGTCTTTTTGAAGATCAATGTTCGCGTCACCACCATGGATGCCGAACTGGAGTTCGCGATCCAGTCGAACACCACCGGCAAGCAATTGTTCGATCAAGTTTGTCCATTCTTTTCCATTTTTGACTAGATACAGTTTGTCTTGTTTGCTTTCGATACCCTTATTTTCCTTGTAGGTCGTCAAAACCATCGGTCTCCGTGAGATATGGTATTTCGGGCTCCAGTACACCGACACCAAAGGTAAAGGCTATCTATTTTTTTGTCCCCAGTCTCGTATTTTTCATCGTTGCGCTTCCATGACATTAATTCGCTCTGACTATTGTACGATGACATATTTTCGTCGCAGACATATTTCGAAAGCTCGCAAGCGTCCTTTTCCCCAGAAGTGCGAATTTGTGATTAATGCTCTCATGTTTTGTTAATTTCGCTGTCAGATTTTTCTTTAGTCATCTTTCCGTTTCAGAATGGAAATCGTAATAAGAAACACACATGTTTCTTACTGATACTTTTTCTTATGAAGTATTTTAAGGATTCCCGACATGGTTGAAGTTGAACAAGAAGGTGCTTTCTCAAGACGTCAAAAAAGATTCCACGCTGATGTTCAAATTCCGCGCCAAGTTTTATCCTGAAGATGTCGGAGAAGAAATCATACAGGATGTTACAATGGTAATTTATTCAGTTTCGGATATATGCGAAAACCCCGTATTTGGGGTAATGGCCTCTTAAGGCGGATTACTGCCCTCATTTTAGTGTAATGTGGCCATCTGTGTACTTGTAGTGAGTCATGGGACGTTACATCAATCTATTTGGTCTTAATTCTAGCTAGTGGAATTATCTGTGCATTGTCGCCCGTCAAATTTCGGACACAATCCGCTTATGTGTGGCACTGGCCGCTACATTGACTCGCCACCTTCACCTCATTGTTACAGAAGAGTACAACCCCAGAGCCGCCATAACCATGAAATGAAACAGGCTTCTTATCAAATAAGCTTTCAAAAAGCTTTGCTTTGAAAGTGGGGTTTTTTGCTGACGGCTCGGCGCCTAGTACTTTGAATGGATTGTTATCTTTGCAACTACGAGGAGTTTTTCCCACAGAGTAGAAATCAATTTTCGGTCGCACTGCGTGCATCGTTCCGCAGGCATCGATTTCATCATATCAGTCCTGGCACCTTTCATCAATACTGATAGCAGCGCGTTTCGAGAAGCTAACAGTGATACAGTGCATAGTTGCAAAAAGGAGTGGGATTGTGTGAAAAATTAGTGGAGCATCATTATTGGCATCATTTGGTGCCGTTTTGATGGTCTTGCTTCTGGTGACTAATCGCTATGGAATGCATTTCGGTCTGGAAGGCGTTGGCGGAGGCATTCCTTGTCTGCTGCATGGCCGTGTCATCGCATGGCTGATTGGGAAGTGTTATGATACGATTTCTGGAGGAATCACCATCATGAGCTCCCTCCGAAGCAAATTGTGGGGAATATGTTTTCAATGAAAGCAAGCAAGCAGAATTGCAGAGCTGAACATTTTGAAAAAGCGATAGGGTTTTTGCAAAGGATTCGGCTGGAGGGTCATCTTATGAAGGAACTCCTATGCAGTTGCGTCAATGTGGTGCTAAAAGCAAGTTTTTTTCCAAAAATGGGAATTAACATGCGTATGAAAATGATATTTTTCGGAAGTATTTTTAGCTATACCGTATCCATAT